AGCTGTGACTTTAATTTGATGTGATTTTACTGTAAAGTTCTCTGTGTCTAATTACTCTGTTCCTCCTCCTCCTCCACCTCCTCCTCCACATCCTCCTCCACCTCCTCCTCCTCCTCCTGTCTGAATAAATCTGGGACACGGTGATGAACAATTTGTCTCTAATCCTCAGACAGTTCTTTGACAGCACGTCCTGTTTGTTTCTGTCTGCTCAGCAAACAGTCACATCTGCTGCTGGCTACACACTCAGTCAAACTCCGTGTGTGTGTGTGTGTTCATGTGTGTGTGTGTTCATGTGTGTGTGTGCAGCTGACCTGTCTGCAGGACTTCTTCTGGGATGACGACGTGTTCATGGCGTGCGGTTCGGAGAAGTTTCGTTACGCTCAGGACGACTTCGTGCTCACGCACGCCGGTAAATCCTCGGCCTTCATGAACGGTGAGACGTCACCACGAGCTGAAAACAGAAAAATTAAATTAGTAACTTTATTTATCTAAAGCAGCAGCAGATCGTGTTGAGTCTTCACTTGGTCACAGTCTCCCATCCTGAGCAAGAACAAAGGAGACAGTGAGAAGAAAAAACTCCTTTTTAACAGGAAGAAACTTCCAGCAGAACCAGTTTCAGGACGAGCGGCCATCTGCTTCGACCGGCTGGGTTGGAGGGGACAGGAAGTAGAAACAGAGAGGACAGGAAGAAGAAACAGAGAGGACAGGAAGTAGAAACAGAGAGGACAGGAAGTAGAAACAGAGAGGACAGGAAGTAGAAACAGAGAGGACAGAAAGTAGAAACCGAGAGGACAGGAAGAAGAAACAGAGAGGACAGGAAGTAGAAACAGAGAGGACAGGAAGAAGAAACGGAGAGGACAGGAAGTAGAAACAGAGAGGACAGGAAGTAGAAACGGAGAGGGCAGGAAGTAGAAACAGAGAGGACAGGAAGTAGAAACAGAGAGGGCAGGAAGTAGAAAGAGAGAGGACAGGAAATAGACACAGAGAGGACAGGAAGTAGAAACAGACAGAATGGAGGTGAGCAGGTCCTCACTAGGAGGAACAATAAAAAGGAAAACACAAGTTAAAACAGAAACAATTACAAATACAAACTATT